ATGATATCGTTTAAATTGAAGAAGATTAAAAAAAACCACATATGAACCTGCTCGGTACACACTTGAAAAAACACCAGTTTCATTTCATGCACGTTCCAAACCATTCAGGTCTTATTTGTGGAAGTTAACAAACGGGTACAGACGATGGAGGACTTCTAAAGTGACTTAGGGTGTTTCAAAAGTATACAATAGTTTCGTACATAAACTTTATAGAAAAATGGCTCCATACCGCAACAAGTCGTTTTTTTCTATACTCTAAACGTCCACCGGATTACCTCTTGATAGAGCAGAAAAAGTTCGAAAGAAATTGTGCAAGTATCTATGCCAACTTTGATCTACGCGAAGTTTGCAGCCAAAAACTTGAAAGAACAGAATGCCTGAAAAAAAAAGAACTCCGTTGGGAAATCTCACTAGTTTCATTTGCTTGCACACCTACATTCCTATTAGACATAAATTAGCTCGCAGCAAAAGTCTAGTGATTCACCAAAACTCACAGAAAGAGAAACGAGTTGGTTATCGTTCAGCTCACTTCTTCATCCCCTTTTTGACAGCTGCATTATCTTGCCGTCAGTGCTCAGAGAGATGAGAAAGCGCAGTCAGCTTTCACACGCAGTAACCCTTTGGCTACATCACGCTCATTCTAGATTACATAGATCAAGATTTTCAACTCCAGAAAGCTCAAAATCTTTCATGTTAATGCTGCGCTTGTGTTTTGTGACTTTACCAAAATCGACATCTCCACATATAATTTTCTAGAGCTTTGAACAGCAGATCAGGAGAGTACAAAAATCATGCCTAATTTTCTCCAAAACTCTAGAGTAAGGCAGAAAATTAGCAAAACCTTGAACGAATCAAGATATAGGTGAAGAAGTTTGGTAGTTATTAAAAAGTTTTCGGAAGAATATGGCTCGGAAATGTGACCATTAGAAAGGGAAGAAAAAGCTGAATTAGTTTATGCATTTTGAACATGCATTTAGCTCTTTATTATACGAGATTCTATGGTCACCAGAAAGACCCATAAAACTTTTGGGACAACCCAGTATAAAGTTGCCGCATTTTTCTGAGCGTGTTGCCGTAGAGGCGTGAATTCTCAGTTCCCATAAAAGCGGTTTTCGACAATTTGAGTCTGTTCTCCTTAGCGAAGCTTGTTGCCAGATTCAATATACTCGAAAATCAGCCTTAGAAAATTGGATAGCTACGATTGTAATTCTAAAGATGTAGATACAGACATGTGAGAACAGCTCAGTATTGCATGGTAAAAGCATGAAAACTTCAATTTTCTTGTTTTTAGCGCCAGTGAAAAAAACATAGCAACTTTTTATATGGAAGACTGATGTACAGGCGTATGCTAAGCGAGTAAAGAAGCAACTGGATTTCTTGACACGACTTTCTTAATTTTTTAGACATTTGGAACTTTCTTACGTTTGGCCCCGAACTTTTCGTGGATCAAAGTTGGCGCAAGTGTTCAAATATTAGGTTGGCTCGAAAGTTCTTGCGTAATCTAAACAAAATTCAATAACTTTTCAATGACTAAACCTAAATTCACAATTTTGTTTTCAAAAAATGTTAGAAGGCCTGCGCTCCATGATGGATGTTTAAGCGCAAGATTTCATGAGCTACCCCCGAGAACGAAGTTCTCAAATATGGGACTTCAAAATTTGCAATTTTGAGTTTGGTGCCAGAAAATCGCAGATGCCGCTAGCTAGCCGAAAAAAATCTGTAAAAATTACTTACGCTGCAGAATTCCATAAGTTACTTTGAAAGGCTTTGATATTGCACGGTGAAACAAAAAAAATTCGTGAAATATTCATTTTGCGGAAAAAATCCACTCATTACCGCCAATCTTTTACACTCCAAAAAACGTCGCAAGGGTTTAAATAAAAAGTATGTCTTGTTTCTGGTTGAAAACTGTGTTTTTGTGGAAAAATTACATCGATAAGGGGATTTATCCTGTAAAATGACGAATCCCACAAATTTTTTTGTTTTCGCATTTCCATGCGAGATCAAAGCCTGCTAAAATAACATATGGACTTCTGCAGTGTAATTAATTTTTACAGATTTTTTTTCGGCTAGCTAGCGGCATTCTGCGATTTTCTGGCACCAAACTTAAAATTGCAAATTTTGTAGTCCCATATTTGAGAGCTTCGTTCTCGGGGGCTAGCTCATGAAATCTTGCGCTTAAACATCCATCATGGAGCGCAGGCCTTCTAATATTTTTAGAAAACAAGGTTATGAATTTAGGTTTAGTCATTGAAAAGTTATTGAATTTTGTTTAGATTACGCAAGAACTTTCGAGCCAACCTAATATTAGGCTGTCTTTGACTTTTTATTGCAAATGTATATATTTCTTACTTCTGATTGGGAAAGGGATACTTTCGATAGAGCAAAGCAAGCATCGTAAGATGGATTGTAAGCGTTTGCACCAACTCCAATGCACAACGAGTTACAAGCCGAAATCCAAAAAGTTTCTAATGCCAAAAAATAAAAGAATTTATATCTTTTCCAGAGAACTCTTGTCGGATCTTCCACTCTCGCGCGAATCACTGCAGAGTAGACATTCACTTATGCCTTACAATATTTTTTCAAATTCCAGCTTTCTGAGTAGTTCCAGTTTCCGAAATATTAATGATGATCGTTAACCTAAAAGATTAATTGAAAAGCTAAAATTTGAGATTTCATGAAAACTATTGCAAGAAGCTGAAGAATCAGCTTCTATGCGATTTCTGCTTGCAATCCGATGAGTAAGGATGCTGGTGCGAAGGCTCACAGGCCACCTTTAGACTTGTTTTGCTCTATCGGACGGTACATAAATCCTAGAATCAAGAAGTGTACGATTTATCGTAGGAGAAAGACAAAACTAAAAAGCTCTTGGGAAGTCTATACCTCACGCGATTTCGTCGCCTCGCGATTCTCCCAGCAAGACAACTGTTATCAGTTTATTGCATGCCGTCATATTGCATTTCGGTTGTGTTAGTTTTCCGACACGACTGACCGAGGCTAACTATCACTAACGAGATGCAAGATACTCAGCGTGCAATGAAGTGGTAACAACTGTCCTGTTGGGGAAATCGCGTGAAGTATGTCCGGCCCTTAGCACAATCTTGTGGGGCACTTTTCTCCGTCGAATGAAACCCCAAATCACGTTGCGGTTATTTAATTCTGGCGAGATTTATATACCACCTGATATGCATTGTTTGACTATTGCTAAGTCTTTTCCTATAGAGCCTACATAATCTTTTCCAACTACTAAATACAGTTCCGTAGAGATAGCTCCAACTTAGATCTACATTATAGAGAGAATCAAATCACCGATCACTTTCCATTACTGTAAGATTACGGTACGAAGTTCTACCACGCAGCGCCATTGTGAATTAGCCGGCGTTTCATAATTTTCAAAAAATCCTATAAAGTTTAGCAGGGTTTTGTTCACGCTGATTCTACTACTCTCAAGTCTGTAAAGATTTTTAGGTCATGAAATCACGGTTTTGAAAAACTTGAGAAAACAGCTGTCATGCTACACCTGTTGTGATTTATAAACGTACCGTTATGCCAGAGCACAATCTTCATATTCAGTGTCAGCGAACCTAAGTAGGCTAATGCAAAGTTCTTGAACTGTCTGGTTCCCTCCTGGAGTAAAACATTGATCGGTCTTCGTTATTGTAGGATTGCCGTACGAAAGTCAAATCCCTTTGACTTTCGTACGGCAATCCTACAATAACGAAGACCGATCAATGATTCGCTCCACATTGTAAATCAGAATTAAATCTCTACCGAATGCTTTCCAGAGATCAGCAAAAGGTTTCATGGAAGAAAAGATGACGTTCGACAGAGTGCACATATTCACATATGAGTTTGAAGAAAGCAGCAGCATGACAGGCAAAAGAGGTGAGAGGTGGTGAGGTGTATTTTCCACATGACATTGCCGGAGTTTCCCCCCCCCCCCCCCCCACCGTATGCAAGGTCCTCCATCTCCCCTCCTGACTCAACATGTAGCAGGCGTAACTGTTTAGTCACCTCAACGTCGCTCGCGCTCCTTAAAAACGACACATAATGATTACGTTAAAAGTTATTTCGACGAAATATAAGGGGCCAAATAAGTTTTCAGCAGAAAATACTTCAAAAATGCCAAAAGAACATTTTTTCGTTACCGAATCAGACGTCATCGACTTGGCGTGCAGTTGCGGTGACGTGACTGAACAGATGGAGCCCACTATACTAAACAAGCTCCGCTCATCCAACAATGCTCTTGCGTAAATGAAATTCTTCCTATTTCATTTCGAAATCACCTACGTTCCAAGAAGTCCAAATATCATCAAAATTTACTTCTTCTGAAATTTGGATACGCCTCCTTACGGGGTTTTTTCGTCCTTTTTGAACAAAACCTAGAGTTCTAACTTGGCAAATTCGAAAAATCAAGGAATAATATCATTCAAAAATTTTGGAACACCGAAGGCTAAGTAATGCTAAGCTGTAATATTGAAAAATGATTTTACGTATAATAGGGGCTACCTCAGCAAAATGGCTCATGACTAAATTATTTTTTCAACTGTAGGAGGTATTGCAAATCTGCGACTTTAAGTAACTCATAGCAACAATAATATTATTGAATGCCAGACACAATCTGCCTTATCAGGATCGATCTTTGGCGTGTGGTACTTTCAAGTTAATGACTTTTTATAGCAAAGATAAATTCTGCTATTTGAAAAAAAAATCGTGGAAATTTTGAGACGATTACAGAAGACTGGAAAAAGAAACACATTATTCCTTAGCACGGGTGCCTCGCAATGCGGTAGTGGAGTGCATCTACAGTGGAGCACATGCCACTGGCTTGCGTACCAGAGGTCGTGCTATCATTTTCGCGTTCACGGATAACGCACTCCACCAATCACGAGTCCCATCGAATGACAAACGAGCGTTAGCACTTCCTTTGTTCTATTTGACAATTTTGCGGAAGTTTCCCTGTATAAAAGCGCCTGAGAAATGTGTGAACACCATTCGAAATGTGGTTCTATTGCTTACTCACTGTAAGTAGCATTTTCCAAAATATGAAGTCAATGATTTCTGTTCAGATTTCGGCTCTTCCTCTCGCACAGGGCCAGCACGCTCAATGCCAAGACAGCCCAACGAAGGTCGACATCAGTCCACGTCGGATATCGCATCTCTGGAAAGCATTTCAAGATGAATGCGGTGGCGGTCACAGTAACTACAACCTCAAGAATCTGGTGAGAATTTAATCACAGCTTCAAATCTCAAGAAAAAGAACCGATTGCGTGAGTTTGATGACCTCCAGGCTGATTCAGATTTAAAAATTGCCCAATTGAACTGTACCGCTCACTAAATCAGATTGTTTCTCGAAGCTTACACAACATACAAGAGATTCTTCTGTTTAGAACTACAGTGCTCAATTGGAATGTATTCTCCTTGATAAGTGGGCAAAGAATGACCCGGAAGTCGAATACAAATGGGGCAGAGGAGTATATGAAATAACGTAGGAAGTTGAAGTAGCTTTTAGCGCGTTCTCAACATCAACGTATTTATGAGTTTCAGCTCACATAACACGGATGAATACTATTTAGTGAAAGAACTTAGAAACTATGCTTTCGATATCTGGGATTGGTTTTGCTGGGTGAGTTACAAACAGCAATAACACCTTCTTCTCAGCTAAAGAGCAAGCGGAAGTGGGGTCCACATGAATGACGATTTTATTACATTATCCCACTATCTTGGTTCGTTTTGTATCAGGAAGTCTTCACTTATTTTTCAAACATTGCTATCCAAAAGGGCAAAGCACGGGACATAAGATAGCAGCCAAAATTTATACGAAGTTTATCCAGTAAAGTTCGATTAGGATTTACTTATGAAAAATCGCATTTGTTTCATGCACATTTAACGGGCCTCCAGAGTGACTAGACAGTGCCGCACTTTCTATGGCTAGAAACTGAATCAAAAACAAAGCAAATTACGAAAATGACGTTTCCTTCGGTTTTTTTTTCGATAATTTTCAGTACCTTGAAGTAGCCACTATGAAGGTAATACTCATGATTCTAGTTTTGGTTTGCGAAAAGCAATTTTTTGCTTCAATTTTCAAACAACATTCCGAGCCGAAATCCTGGGTACGCCACTGTTGAATAGTACTACAATATTTTTAAAAAATGAACAAATGTAAATTTTTGCTTGACGAACAAAACTATAGGGCAACCTAAAAACAACGAAGGGGTCGAAAAGTACCATCATAAAACACTCACCGTATTTAACACATTGACGACCAAAGCATTCCTCGGACCAGTCAACATTTTTCAGACAAAATCACGCACAATTCCATATGCAGTACATCTACAGTAGTGCTGGAATGCTGGCAGAAACAGTAGAGGTTGTATCTAGATTCAGTATAAAAGAAAACTCCCAGAGTTGATTTGAAACAAATTAGTAGCCATTTCAATGGGAGTCATGGTATGTCAAGCCTTGACACACCATGTGTGTCAAGCGTTCGTCAATGTGTTAAATCTCCGCAGTGCTTTTTCTGCTTTAGAACTGACAGACAACCATATCAAAAACCTATCAAATAATACAGGGTGTCCCAAAAGTATGTATGCACTGTTTGATCGTTGATCTGTCTTCCCAGGAAGTCTTTCGTCTTGCTTTAGGTACCTTTTTGTAGAGTTGGCTTTAACTCAGATTTAGAGTATATTGTAGAGTTGGCTTTAACTCAGATTTAGAGTATAGAACGAATTACCCATCTCTCTTCGTTACTTACTGTAGGATTACATATTATATTTCAAAAAAGAAACAAAACAGCCTGAAAACTTTTACACTGGGCTAATTAGAGTTGCTGATTTTAACTGTAAAATTCTCAACTTATTATGATGCTTCATTGAAGAGTTATGCCAGGTAAGAGGTAGCGGTCATTTTCTCAATGTTCCTAAAAAATGCGGTCACACCGTTTAGAAAGCTTTGTAATTTTGTGAATAGTTGAGTATTGAACTCAGCGTCTATAAAAACCCTATTACACAAGTTTTCACAATTTTTTGAAAAATTTTGAAGCGGCAGCTTTTTCCACATTGACACCATATGTGTCAAGTTTTTACCGTAATCCTACAGTAAAGAAGAGAGATGGGTGATTCTTTCTATACTGAAAACCTAAGTTGAAGCCAGCTCTACAAAATAATACCTAAAGCAAGGCGAAAGACTTCTTGGGAAGAGAGATATTAACGATCAAACAGTGCATACATACTTTTGGGACACCCTGTATTGTAAAATAGTGAAGTTGGAAGTTCTGCTTTATGTTGCTATAAATGAGAAAGCAAGGCACGACTGCTGATATGACCGCACAGGATGGTGTTCAGTTGATACTTGTCAACAAGTCATTTGCTATCAAGTGCCCGTGTGTACAGTATTGTGCTAGAGCCTGTAAGTGATGGCAGGTAGGGGACGAAAGCCGTCAGTTTGAGCCGCCTTTCGTGGCCAACTGCTCCTTTGCCAATGTTGTTGCATGTCGTTTCGGGACCATTAGCCGCGGAAGCAGCCCAAATTGGCTTTTTTCGTTCCTCTACACAGTAATGGCTCTGTCTTAATTTGTTGATAATTTCTGGAGAAAGTATTAACGAGTACGTACAACGTCCGTACAACGTCTCTTCCAACCCCCTTGTAAAGAACGCTATCCAGCATGCTTGCCTCACTTGCGCTACGCCCTGGAATATTCAGTTTCTTTAAACTAAATTGTGTCCTTTCTTAACGAGACTAACAAGCACGTTGCAGTCAGCTTCAACCAAGAGACCGCATAAATACTATGCCTGCGCAATCTACACGAAAACGTATAATGGACTGTGGGTAGGAACTTATCGCAAATTCGGCTGCGTATTCCACTATAAGGAGTCAGTGTAAGAGTCATTTTGGCCTGCAGGAAATTCTTCAAAGTAAAGCTTTGAAATGTTGAATTCAGTTGATCTTGACATCTTTGCACAATAACGGGAAACAAAATTTCATCAAAAATTACCGTTCTTAAAGAAACATCGTTGTAAAACTATGAGGTTTCAATATGAATGCAAAAAACCATAATTTAGAAATGGTCGAGCACTATGATGAAGCTAATAATTGATGTAACTATTTTTCGTCCTGTCGAGCTTCGTCGGGTCTCAGAGAAGCTCAGCTACTGAAGATGCAGCACCCTCGGTAAGGTTTGCCTTTGGCACTGTAGATTGTGCTGGTGCGTGCGGAAACTCGGTCGCTTGTGCAACATCGCAACAGGGAATTTACACTGTACCTGTACAGACGTTTGAACAGTAATATGCAAGTTCATACACTGCTGTCAAACAATGGGGCTTCGTTTTTCCTTTGCAAAACTTTCAACGTTTGAAAAACTATGCACTGCTTGTATCGGTCCCGAGCAGGACTCGGCGTGAGCTAGCCCCCTAGAAACTTTGCAAAATTTCCTTGAGTTGCAAAGCATTTAACTTTCCACTGCAATCACAAAACCTGCTTGCTCTGCCCAGATCCCTACAGGGACGTCTTTTGGCTTTTCTGACACTCGTCTGTTCTGCAAAAGTTGCAAGTTTTGCTTTGATCCACGACCTCAGAAGATGGGCATAGACCACGCAACACCCATTGAATTTTACCTAATTGCATACTCTGAAGTGAAAACAGCCGTGCTCTCAAAATCTCTTTCTTTACATGTGTTTTAGTTTTTGAACTTTGGGTTGAAGAGCTCGAAGTTGCACAGAAGAGGCGGATAAGTGAACATAATGAAAACGATTGCAAAATTCATCTTCAATCAGTCTTCACTGATTTTATTAACTGCTGCAATTTCAATCTGAGGCAGTGGAAGTCGACCAAGTGGTAAGCGAGCACGCTCTTTACGCATTGATAACTGAGCATGCTGTTTGAAAATAGGGCAACCGTCTAAAAAACTATACGTTGCTTCTATTGATTTCATCGATTTTGGTGCACTCCAAACTTGAGCGGTGGCTGGTACAGCAAAGCAGCGAGTATGCTGATTACGAATACACTCTGCGTTCAGAATTATCCATTGTTGTTGCTTTGATATTTTTTGCAAACTTCGAGCTGAGAGCAGGGATTGGTGCGTGGAGTGAGCATGCTGCATTTATCGATTCTACTTTTGGAACTGAGCTGCTCTCCCGAGATTGATAGAGAGAGCATGAAGAGTTATACGCTATTTATATTAGGTCATTCCAAAAGTAATTTCGCTTTTTCTAACGGACGCCACATGTGATGGAACAAAAATTTCTAAGAGTTCTTGGTAGCATTCGATGCAGCATTTCATCTTCTTTCTAACAACAATGAAGCCGTTGCAGTGCACTCAATGAGCTTTCGGAAAATTACCAAAAGCTGCGACACATGCTTTTTGAAACGGTCAAGTTTCACAATCTTATATATAAAGCTGAATGTCTGTTTGTCTGTATGTCTGTATGTCTGTCTGTCTGTCTGTTTGTATGTGTGTACGTATGTTCCGAATAGAAAATTCCATTTCTGAACCGATCCGTACCAAACTTGGCACACATACACTTCGGGCCCCGGCGGGTATCATAGGCTACTTTTCGTCATCGATCGAAAAGTGGACTGTGACACCCGTCGGGGCCCGAAGTGTATGTGTGCCAAGTTTGGTCCGGATCGGTTAAGAAATGGAATTTTCTATTCGGAACATACGGCGGAGCCGGGTAAGCCAGCTAGTTTTTTATAACTTTCATATCAACTCTCAAAAGAGCATAGGATACAGCACAACTTTTCTTTCTTCTTCATAACTCGCCGTAATTTTCTAAAAAGTTAAAAAAACCATCGGATTTTGGCAGGCCTACATCAGCCATAATCGCATCAAACATCAGAATTATTCGAAATTTGAGTCTACTAAGACGATACTATGAGTTAGCATAGTTTTACAAAGCAAGTAAAAGTTTACGGATTCGAAACATCAAATTTCGAGGTTTTCGGGTACAGCCTGGAGCTCGTTCAAAAAAAATGAGTTATGGTTATTTTATTCCCAGAAACTAAACGAATCGGAAGCAAAAAACACCGGTTAGAAAGAGGATAAAGTGCTGCATCGAATAGTGTTCGAGCTGCTATTCTTTGATGTTCCATGAAGATATAGCTGTCCAAAAATGGAAATCGGTAGCATTAGTTAAAATTCTGTCTAAAATGTATGATAAGCTATGGAAAAGAAAAAAAAAGTAGTTTTGCATTCTGTAGGGTTTGTCCTATGCTTTTTGAGATGGTCAAGTTTCACAATTTTTCAAAACTTCTATATAAACCCTCCGAAAAAGTACAATTAACGTGACGTTAATTGTACTTTTTCGGAGGGTTTATATAGAAGTTTTGAAAAATTGTGAAACTTGACCATCTCAAAAAGCATAGGTCGCAGATTTTGTTATTTTTTGAAGGCCCATTGATTATGTTGCAACATTTTATAATCTTTAAAAAGAGGATGAAATGCTGCATCGAATGCTACCAGTATCTTTTGAAAATCTTTGTTCTATCAAATGTG